TGTACTGGGAATGGCGGACGCATGCGGGCACCCCCACTGGGGCCTTCGGTGGGGCTCCCTAGGGGGCCACGATTCGCTGTACTAGGTGTGGCGGACGCATGCGGGCACCCCCACTGGGGCCTTCGGTGGAGCTCCCTATGGGGCCACGAGACGAAGTACGGGGTGTGGCCGACGCATGCGGGCACCGCCACTTGGGCCTTCGGTGGAGCTCCCTTTGGGCCACGAAACGCTGTACTGGGCGTGGCGGACGCATGCGGGCACCCCCACTGGGGCCTTCGGTTGATCTCCCTATGGGGCCACGAAGCGCTGTACTGGGTGTGACGGACGCATGCGGGCACCCCCACTGGGGCCTTCGGTGAAGCTCCCCATGGGGCCACGAAACGTGTGAGAGGTGCTGAAGCTGGTGATGACGATGATTATGGAGGAGGGAGGAGGAAGGGGAGAAGGAGAGGAGAGGAGAGGAGAGGAGAGGAGAGGAGAGGAGAGGAGAGGAGAGGAGAGGAGAGAACAGGAGAGGAACCGGGGGACCGTCTCTTCAAAACGAGGACCCAACACCACAGGATGGTTGGGAAATAATCAAACATAGTATTAACAAAATCGCCGCCAGACGGTGGCGGCATGGGCCGAAGGCCATTCGATGAACGGGCCCAGCGGAGCGGACGTGGCTGACCGGCGCGTCCTGTCGTGGCCGTCGGTCACGCGGCCCCCGTAGTTGGCCTCGGAGGCCGTGTAGCGCAGGGCCGTGTACGGGATGGTGTTGTTCTCCTTTTGGCGGGATCGACATTAGAGGCCTGCTTGATGGGGTCGGAGTAGATGGGGTCGGAGGATCGCGCCGCATCGCCGATGAATCGGCGATGCATCGCCTATGTATCGCCGATGCATCGGCGACGTCGGTGGTGCATCGGCAACGCCAGCGAGGAGAAAATCGGGCTCCACATCGAGCCGCATCGCCGATGCGTCGGCGATGCGGAGTCCTCCGACCCCCCATTCACTCCGACCCAATCTAGGAGGCCTGGAGACAGGGGGACGGAAAGAACGGGGACAAGGACGGGCAGCAGCGACTGTCCTCTGTCAGCAAGGCCCGCTGTCGTTACCGCCGCGGGGCGCCGCCCCCGCCTCAAATGAGACAGAGGCGGCTGCCCAACGGCGGCCGCTGCCGCCGGCTTGGGACAAGCGATGCTGCTGGGCATCGTCGCAGATCTTTCGGGGAGGTGTAGCATCCGAGCTTGGAGGGCTCGAGCTGGCCTGACGGGGGGGCCGTCCGAAAAAGACGCGCCCAAATCTGGAAGTCGGCGCGAACCGACGCTGCAAACATCCCGCGAAAAACGGGCCGTCAATTGAGCAGGGACCGACCGTGCCGGCATTCCTATAGGCCTACCACGATGTTCTTAGAACCCAGAAATGTTCTAAGAACAAAAGCAGTGTTCTTAGAACATAAACCCGACGTGTCAAAACAAGACAGTCTGGGCTAAGCATGTTCCAAGAACACGTCGTGCAGACCATAAAAGCTTCTTAGAACATTATTTGGTGGAACTATAGGCGAGCCAGGACGCTTCGCCACTGCTCGAGTCAGGATTAGTGACGGGTCCGCCAGAAAGCGTCGGCAAAACCCGCTCGAGCGAGCGAACGGCTGCGTTCCGCCCAGGAGGGCGCTGCGCCTTCGGGCCCAGGGCCTGGCGCAGTCGGCAAAAAATGCCGAATCCCGAAGAGCAGCTGAGTAAGGAGCCAGGCGCATCGGCGGAAAAGATCCCGTGCAGATGTGCACTTAGGGGTCTCCTGGATGGGGTCCGAATCAATGGTATCTAAGGCTCGGCCTGTATCGCCAATGCATCGGCGACGTCGGCGATGCATCGGCGACGTCGGCATGGAGAAAATCGGGCTCCACATCGAGCCGCATCGTCGACGCATCGGCGATGCCTCGGCGATGCGGCGCGACCCTCCGACCCCGTCTACTCCGACCCCATCAGGGAGGCCTACAGCACTACAAACTCGGAGACATTTCTCCTTACGGCACAACAACACCCCAATAACAACCGAAAAACAAACAAAACCTTCCGCACCCGATCCCGTCCGCCTCGCCGGCCATGCGGTCCAAACACCCTCCTCGTACCTCCTCCCTCCTCCTTCCTCTCTCCGTCCTGGAAAGACCCCCCCTTCCCGTAGAATCATAGCCTTGGTCAGCAGATCCACAGTTCCGTGGATGGCGTGATGCTTTGCGTGCGGTGCCCCGCGGATCAAATTTCCCCTGGGTCTGGGATGCTAATTATTATTGTATACTCATTCCTGGAAAAGATATGGATCCACTGGTTTTCCACACACGGGACATTGGATCCGCTCAAGACAGCCATAGGATCCACGATACTGTCGCACACCCGAAAAGGGATCCAATGGGATCCATCGGTGTTCTCAGATTGCAGTCCAAGAGGAAAAACGTTCGGCCTGGGAATGTAGTGCAACAATCGCTCACACAAATCCTCCTCTTATGCGGCATTGGACCATGTGGCGGCGTAGGGAGAAAACCTTTTCCCAGCCTGTGGCGAAGTGGTGGCACCATCGATCGGCAGTGAATCTCTGCGGGCTGCTGCTTTGAGGCTGCGGGGGGCCAGGCGCCGGCAGAGCCGAGTCTCTGCGAGATCGAGCATGGGAGCAATTTCCTAGTCGGAGGCGCTTTGACATTGGGCGGAAGGGGGGGGGAGGGAGGGAGGGGGGGGTCTGGCTCCGGACCTCTGCTTAGTGCGACTGTTTGCAACAGTGCGTCCCATGGGGGAGACTCCACCTGCTCGAAACAGGCGGCGCCAGGAACAGCCAAGACCTGCTCCACGGGGGGAGGGCAGAGGAGGGGGGGGGTGCGAGGGCCCGCGCCGATCGGCAAAACAATGAATAAGAAAGCGATCACCGCTACGCTTCCCCGAACCTGTTTCCCCTAGGCTTAGGTCGGGCATGTCCTCCTACAGGCGGATTTTAAACGAACAATGAAACATACCCCCAAACATAGTTCATTTACTTATATATATATATATATGTGTGTGTGTCTATATGTATTCATATATATATATACATGTATATATATATATATATATTATCCTGGCGAAGGGCCCAACCATACGAATTTGTGAATAACGCGATGTGAGTGCCGCTTTCGGTGGACCACGAAACGCGTGAGGGCCGCGCCGTAATGGGTGGGGTGGGGAGGTGGCATGCGGGCAGTGCCACTGGGGCCTTCGCTGGAGCTCCCTGTGGGGCCGCGAAACGCTGTACTGGGTGTGGCGGACGCATGCGGGCGGTGCCATTGGGGCCTTCGCTGGGGCTCCCTTTGGGGCCACGAAACACTGTACTGGGTGTGGCGGATGCATGCTGGCACCCTCACTGGGGCCTTTGGTGGAGCTCCCTATGGAGCCACGAAACGCTGTACTGGGTGTGGCGGACGCATGCGGCCACCCCCACTGGGGCCTTGGCTGGGGCTCCCTATGGGGCCGCGAAACGCTGCGCTGCGCGTGGCGGACGCATGTGGCCACCCCCACTGGGGCCTTCGGTGAAGCTCCCTACGGGGCCACGAAGCGCTGTACTGGCTGTGGCGGACACATCAGGCCACCCCCACTGGGGCCTCCGGTTGAGCTCCCTATGGGGCCACGAAGCGCTGAAATGGGTGTGGCGGACGAATGTGGCCACCCCCACTGGGCCCTTAGGTGGAGCTCCCTATGGGGCCACGAAGCGCTGTACTGGCTGTGGCGGACACATCAGGCCACCCCCACTGGGGCCTTGGGCGAAGCTCCCTATGGGGCAACGAAACGCTGTACTGGGTGTGGCGGACGCATGCGGGCACCCCCACTGGCTGTGGCGGACACATCAGGCCACCCCCACTGGGGCCTCCGGTTGAGCTCCCTATGGGGCCACGAAGCGCTGATATGGGTGTGGCGGACGCATGTGGCCACCCCCACTGGGCCCTTAGGTGGAGCTCCCTATGGGGCCACGAAGCGCTGTGCTGGGTGTGGCGGGCGCATGTGGCCACCCCCACTGGGGCCTTGGGCGAAGCTCCCTATGGGGCAACGAAGCGCTGTACTGGGTGTGGCGTACGCATGCGGGCACCCCCACTGGGACCTTCGGTGGAGGTCCCTATGGGGCCACGAAACGCTGTATTGGGTGTGGCGGACGCATGCGGGCGTCCACCACTGGGGCCTTCGGTGGAGGTCCCTATGGGGCCACGAAGCGCTGAACTGGGTGTGGCGGACGCACGTGGCCACCCCCACTGGGCCCTTAGGTGGAGCTCCCTACGGGGCCACGAAACGCTGCACTGGGTATGGCGGGCGCATGTGGCCACCCCCACTGGGGGGGGGGCGGGCGGGAGGAGACGCGGGGATCGTCTCTTCAAAACGAGGACCCAACACCACGAGATGGTTGGGGAAAAAACGTCCATTTATTATCGGCTTGACATTGTTTAATCTTCCTGATTGAACCCCGGAGCGCCCAAGGTCCCCCGGAGCGAGGAGGGCGCCCTTCCGTGGAGGAGTAGGAGGAAGAGGAGGAGGAGGAGGAGGAGGAGGAGGAGGAGGAGGAGGAGGAGGAGGAGGAGGAGGAGGAGGGAGGAGGAGGAGGGGAGGAGGAGGAGGGACGTTTTTTTCCTGCTGTGGAGGGACGTGCCCGATTGAACCCTGGGCCGCCCAACTTCGCGCCCTCGCGCCCCCGCGGGGCTGCCGATCCGCTCCGCGCCCCCCGCGCCCGCCGCAAGCCGCGGGGGGCGGGGCGCGCCTGCTTACCAGGCCCGCGCGCGGCGAGGGCGGATGGCGTTGCCGTCTCCACTTCAGTCGGGGAGACGTACGTCGGGGTGAGGAGGGAGGAGGGAGGGAGGAGGGAGGAGGGGGGGAGGGGGGAGGGAGGAGGGAGGAGGGAGGGGAGAGGGAGGAGGGGGGAGGGGGAGGGGGGCGGGGGGAGGGGGGAGGGCGGGGGGGGGGGGGGGGAGGGGGGGGGGGGAGGGGGGGGGGACGCAAATCGTGGCTGGCGACACGTGCGCGGCCCAAGGGGAAGCCAGAGGACGTGAAGAGATATAAGAAGAGGCGCCCCGAAGTCTGCGGAAATATCACGGCCCACGCCATTATCTCCAGCCCCCTGACCATCACCCCCTTCTATGCCGCGCCCGAGTAAGACTCGGATGCGGGGGACTCGGGTTGGCCTGACGGGGCCATCATGAAAATGACGGTGGCCCAATCTGAGACTTGGCGCGAGCTCCCGCTGCAAAATATCCAACGGAAACCAGACCGTCAGAATCCAGGACGCGCTCGTAAAAAAAAACGTCGGCAAACCCGAGTTCCTGCTCACTCGAATCTTTCCTTTTCCCGAGTCAGGCGTCCACGTCCGTGCGAGGCGCTCGCCGCGTCCTCGCGAGGGTCCATAACGAAGTCGCGGCCAGACCTGCCCCCTGGTTCTGGCGCCCCCCCTTTTATCGTGCCGCGCTGGAGGCAGCAATGCGGGTGCGGATGGAAGCGGCGATAACTGGCTTTCGCCGCACTCCTCGGGGCAAGCGGACGGGGAGGGTGCCGGCTCAAGGCAGCAGAAAAGAATCAGCGATCCATCGCCGATAGATCGGCGATGGCCCCCGATGGCGAAGTCGAGCATCCCTCGTCGCGGCCACGGCCGCACGGGTCGCACGCGAAGATGTAGCAACTAAATTGTTCATCTCGGTCGGCGAGATGAGACGACTCTGCTTTGCGGCAAGTTCGCTTCCGCGTAACACACCCCGCCCCATTCGCAGCACCCGCGCTCGCGCCAGCGCATTTGTTGGGAATGGTTGTCGTTGTGGTGCGTGACCGCTCTGTTGGTCGCCGCGGCAATCTCGTGGCCCGCGGCCGAATTCGCAGCGCCGCGATCGCAGCGCCCGCGGCCCGACTTGCATCGGCGATTGCGTCGCATGCTGCTTTCCACCGCGCGCCCGAGGTCACGCCGGCAACGGCGTCGCATGGGGGCCCCAACAGGCCCCCGACTGGGCCCAAAGAGGCACCCACGACAAACTTGCGGGCGTTCGTCGCAAGCGCCGCTCAAAACGACCCCCCCCGAACTCCTCGCCGAGCCCCACTGACGTCATCTTCGGCCGCCCCAAAATGGCATGGGGGACCCCCCGAGGACCCGGAGGGCCAGAAGAGAAGGCTCCGAGGAGGGCCTCCCCAGAGTGGATCAGAGAATGGGACCGAATGTGCAAATTCTGGGGGGCTGCTGAGGCGGGGCTTTTGTGGATCCCCTTCTGATGCCGCACTGGGCTCTTTTGGGGCCCTCGTGGGCCCCTCTTGGAATTCCCTCGGGGCTCTCCGAAACCTACTTTGATCGGATAAAGATCCACTCCGTCCATGAATGGCACGCGGCTCTAACTCGGCATACTGGACAACGCGTAACTACAATGGGATGCCCCTTCCTTTCGGTTCACCGTCGCCCTGTGTGCCACCTACCGCGCGCTGTCAACTGATATCCCAAGTGCGCACTGCCTCCTGATTCCATCCTCCGTTTGCGCGGCCCCCTTGCCTCCCTGCGCTCGAACGCACTGGGAGGGGGGGAGGGCTGACGTCGAACTATTTAAACGGTTTTTGTCATGCATATTAGATCCCCCTGTGCTTGGCCTCAAATCGCGCGCGATTCATCGGGGTATCCGGGCGTTTCAGCCTCGCCCCCTGCTCGCTGCCCCCGTTCCGCGTCATCCTGGTCGTCCTCCAGATTCGCGGTGGCTGGATTTCAACTGGGGCGCGCGGGCTCAGCCGGACTCAGTGGCACAGATGCGCCGCGAGAACACCCCTGCCTGGGAAAATCCTCGCACCTCCCCCCGCTGACCTCTTCCACCTGTGCTCGCCCCCCCCCCCGGCTCGCAGCTACATTCGGGGCTCGGACCCTGAGCGGGCGGGCGCCGCTCGTCTCTTGGATCGTCGTCTTTTGCCCCGCTTCCTCGTGATCGAGGCAAATGCTGGGTCGCCCATCCTTGTCTCGATCTACAACTGCGTGATTGTCTGCATCTAACATCTCGCGCGCAGGCCCGAATACTTCTTCGTTCGACGCCAGCTACCTGACTACCTACCAGACAACCCCAACCCAACCCGAAGATTCGAATTTCGGGCTGGGGGGGGCACGAGTTCCATACGTGTTTTTTCAGTGTTCCCCGACCCCCCCAACTGGAAATGGAGGGCAGATTGAGGCCTTCGGGTTGGGTTGGGGTGGTTCGGTGGGTGGTGACTACCTGGGCGGGCGCGCTCACTGTCGAGTCGTTCTCGCTTCCACCCGCAACAACTCGCTGCCCTTGGCCGCTGGCGATCGACCCTTTGGCCGCGATGCAGCGCTTGCCGCCCCTGAAAGCCCCCGCGGGTTTAACGGGAAAGTGGGGCGCCGCGTTCAGAGGCCCAGCCGCGTCGTAGGCTCTGGAATTCACTGTGGCAGCGATCGTCTCCATCGCGCTCTCCCGGCCCCTTACTGGCGCGTCATTAGCTTCATTTCTGGGCCCCTCCATTCCCACAAACTGCGCCCCCCGTGGATGCGCCGCCCGATTCTGCAGCCCCAGCCTGCGTCGTGACCGCGGGGGGCGCGACGCTGACACGGCGCGCGCCTCTTCTTGATCCCTAAAATCGCCCCCCTGTTTCTCCCCGTTGCATCCGGGCGCCGCGCCCTCCACTCCTGCGCGCGTTTAACTGGGTCTGGCGCTATTGCGCGGCTGGTAACTCCACCGGCGGCAATGGTCTCGCTCATCTCGGCGCGGTGGCATCTGGGTCCAGGTAGGGGCTGCCTTAACATGCGCGCGGGCTCCCATGTGCTTCCTGTCCCCCGCCTTAGCCTGGGGTGACTACATTGGCATTCCTGGGGCAGCGCGCTGCGACGTGACCCCGTTCGCCGCACTTGCAGCACCCCCTCTCGCTGATCGACGAAATCCTCCCTGGCCTCCTCCTTTCCGCATGGGAACTCGGTTCACTTGGAAAGCCCTTCAAGGGCCCCGCTTGCCACCTCTTTTGACGCAGCCCCATCGGGCAACCCTGGGCGCCCTGCCGCCCGTCCTTGCACCCTTTCTACCTGCGCTCATTGGTAACCGCTGGGGCCAAGCATCCCCTTTTCCACCTAATTGTCCTGCTTCCTTTCGCGGCGCAGTCTTTGGCAATGTGTCCATGTCCGCCACGCTTGAGAAACATGCGCCCTTTACCATTGCTGTTGTTCCTTTGCTACCTTCGTTTGCATCGCCGTCACAACTCATTTCCCCCTATTTTAGGTGCACCAATCTCCACCTTTGTCATCGTAGCTGGGCTCGTTCACATTCGCGCCTTGCTCTCCAGCGTCTTCATCGCTAGCTTGGCCGATCTCCATCGAGTTGTTGTTCCTCGTGTCGGCGACCAGTCTTTTCTTCGTGTCCAGACCTCACGATTGATGAAGAGTCCCTGGCAAGCGCCAAGAACTAACGATCCCGACATTTTGAAGCAGTCCTGTTGCCAGTCGTCAAGCCATTCGCTTACGCGGGTCATGATGGTCCTGAAGGCAGTCACCCTGAACGGCAAAGGTAAAGAGCATGCACCCCCGCATTTCGCAAGGAACCCTACCAGCGAACTCCACTGACCCAGCTGTGGCGCCACATCGTTAACCCTCTGGGACCTTTCTGAATTCGCAGCCAGGTTAATTTCGCGTGACAGGGTGACTCCTGTAACGGGCGAGCACCATTTTTCAATTTTGGGGTGAACCATTAAACCATATCTCGTTTGTGCAAACCTTTGGGTTATCCTCATTTCCGTCCTGTCCAATGTGTCATTGAATAAGTACCAGAGCTCCTCGCCAAATTTACATAGTGTGTGATATTTGGCGTCGTCTCCTCGTTCCTTGGCTGTTGACGCTTTGGTGTAGCCGCTGAAGGTTAATCTCCCTTTCAGAATCTGCATCAGCTCGTCCTTTTCGTCATCGGGTACCGTCCACTCCATGGTTTCAAATGTGTTATTCGAATATCATGAGGATGTTCAATGCGGGTGCTTCGCTTGGGCAAGCGCGTTCACCAACGTCTCGCTCCACTCCCAAAACTTGGTCCTGTCGCCCGACATTACTTGTTGAACGGCGTTGTACTCGCTGACTGGTTAGTCCCCACCTCCTCCGGCCCTCGTGCCTCCAGCGGGACAATACAGCTTTGGGGAGTTCCGAAACGTTCGGATGCATTTGGAATTTGGAACCTTTTTGTATCGCAGTACACGCTGCGGTTCATGACCAACAAAAAACATTAATGTTGTACTTCGTATATAGCATCAACCATCGTCGTCACCCGTCATGGTGTCCAATGTGACGCTATGCTCGAATAGCAGTCTCATCCGTTAGTGATCGGCCTTGAGTGCAGTGCTGACGTATGTGAAAATATACGTTATCAAGGCTTCTTAGACATCAAATATAGAGCGTTACATTGTAATCCGGATAGTCCACTGGGGTCTTTGCGGCGGCCGCCGCTGCCATCTCAGCACTGGAAGTCGCGGGGCGCAAGAGGAACCTTTTTAGAAGGCGAGAGCACTTGAACCAAATAGTTGCGGCCCATCACTAACATGCAACACTTGAATCCCTAAACCGCGTAGCTCACCCAGTCGCATGGCCATGTCCTAACATCTCCCCCTCCTCTCCTTCTCCCCCTCCTCCTCCTCCTCCTCCTCCTCCTCCTCGTCCTCCTCCTCCTTCCTCTTCCCTCATCCCTCGTCCTCCCCTCCTGCTACTCTTACTCGTCCTCCTCCCTCCTCCCTCCCTCCTCCCTGCCTCCTCCCTCCTCTCTCCTCCTCCTGCTCCACCCCCCTCCGCCTCCTCCCTTCCTCCCGGCGTCCTCGATGAACATCCGCAGCTGCGACACGCAGATCTGCCGGTCTGGCTCGGAGAACTGGTAGGGGATGTTCCAGCCGAGGGGGCCGTAGTTGCAGCGCTCCTCGAGCCGGCGGCGGGCACCGCCTCCTTCCGGCAACTGCCCACCTCCAGCCTCTGCTGCTCCTGCCTCCTGCCTCCTGCCTCGTCCCTCCTCCTCCGCCTCATCGTCCTCCTCCTCCTCCTCCTCTTCCTCTTCCTCCTCCTCCTTCTCCTCCTCCTCCTCCTCCTCCGCCTCCGCCTCCTCGTCCTCAACCTCCTCCTCCTCCTCCTCCTCCTTCTCGTCCTCCTCCTCCTCATCCTCCTCCTCTCCTCCTCTTTTTGTCCTCCTCATCCTCCCTCCAACCAGCCAGCCGACATGCCTCCTCGTCCACCCCTCCTCCTCATCCCTCGCTCACGCTCGCGCCCCCGCCGCGTTTCTCCAGGACGCCCAGACAGGCCGCGCAGTGTGCGGGCGCGCGCACACGCGCGTGCCTCCTCCCTGCTCCTTCACCTCCTCCTCCTCCTCCTCCTCCTCCTCCTCCCCTCTTCCTCCTCCTGCTTCTCCTACGCCTCCTCCTGCCTCCTCGACTCAGTCCGTGACGGCACGAGAGTGTACGCTGCCGATCCCAGATGAAGAAGACCGGAGAGAGACAGAGAGAGAGAGAGAGAGAATGAGAGAGACAGGGAGAGACAGGGAGAGAGACAGGTGTTCAATCAGCGGTTGGGAACACGCAGTGCTCCTCATCCTCCTGGGCATCGCTCGGACGTCCATTCCCTGTGTTTTTGTCGGTTTCGTGCGTGTTTTTTTCGCCAAATGATGAAGGATGCTCCTCGATGGTCCTCGCCGGAGGAAAAATGCACACGTCCGAGCGATGCCAAGCCACGTCCGGCCATCGACCGGGGCGCACGGACAGGTCTTTCGGGAGCCGGACAGGATTCGGAGCGCGATGAGAGGCCTCCTGCGACCCAGGAGGCAGGCGACCCGGGCCACCGAACCAGAACCCACCGGCGGACCCAAGAAACTCCTCCTCCTCCTCCTCCTCCTCCTCCTCCTCCTCCTTCCTCTTCCTCCTCCTTCCTCCTCCTCCTCCTCCTCCCTCTTCCTCCTCCTCCCTCCTCCTCCTCCTCCTCCCTCCTCCTCCTCCTCCTCCTCCCTCCTCCTCCTTCTCCTCCTCCTCCCTCCTCCTCCTCCTCCTCCTCCTTCCTCTTCCTCCTCCTCCTGCTGAAACAAAAAAAGGGACGGAGGCAGGACGGCGGGCGGCGACGGGCGGGCGGCGCGGCAGCGTCCACGGCACGCAGAAAGCCAAGACACACACACACACACACACACGCACACACACACACACGCACACACACGCACACGCACGCACGCACGCACGCACGCACGCACGCACGCACGCACGCACGCACGCACGCACGCACGCACGCACGCACGCACGCACGCACGCACGCACGCACGCACGCACACGCACGCACGCACGCACACACACACACACACCCACGCACGCACGCACGCACGCACGCACGCCCGCACGCACGCACGCACGCAGGCACGCAGGCACGCAGGCACGCAGGCACGCAGGCACGCAGGCACGCAGGCACGCACACGCAGGCACGCAGGCACGCAGGCACGCACGCACGAATACACACACACACACACCACGCACACACCACGCACACACCCGCCAGTTGCTGGCCGGCTACGCTGCGCCCCCTAAGCCCCGAGGGGATAATGAGCAGCAGGGGCGGATGGGGAAAAGGGGGATGGAGAAACTGACACAATTTTCAAAGAACTACAGCCGCGCCTTTCAACAGGCTGCCGGGGACGAGGGACGGGAACGTGATCCAGGAAGGAAGGGTCGTCATCTTCTGTCTCCTCCTCCTTCTCATCCTCTTCATCCCCCTCCTCATCCTCCGCCATCCCTCCCATCCCGCGTTCTCCCCTCCTCACCTCCCTCCTCCTCCTCATCCTTACCCTGGTCGTCATGTTTTCTAGCGACAGTAGCATTGCTTTTGTTTTATCACTCTTATTCGCATGAACGTATGCATATGGCCGTTGCTGGTCTTCGTACTCATGTATTTGCGCGTGTAGTATGATCCGCCCTCTGAGTTTTCTACTCCATCGTCAAAGTATGCTCTAACGTGCTATTAACAGTAATGCCAGTGTTCCTATTGGTATGTGTCCTCCTCCGCCCCCTTCCCGTTCGCCCCCCTCCATCCAACGATGGGGGCGGACGTGAGGTCGAAGAGGAAATAGGACGTAGAGGAACAGGGTCTGCTCTCACTGGAAGACTGGCCATCGCTCGGACGTCCATTCCCTGTGCTTTTTTTGGTTTCGTGCGTGGTTTTTTGTTTTTTCGCCACATGGTCAAGGATGCTCCTCGATGGTCCTCGCCGAAGGAAAAACGCACACGTCCGAGCGATGCCAAGAAGAAGACAAACTCGCCTGACCATAAACTTTTGGCGCTCCGTGCGGATTTCATGACCCCTGCGCCGAACCCCCCTCCCTGGCGCGCGGAGCGCGCCAGGGGCGGCGCCGGAAGCGCCGCCAGGGGGGCCGCAGGCGCGGAGCCAAGAAATCCGCGCGGATCGCCGAAAAGTTGTGTGTTGCGGCGTTTGTCTTGTTCTCTCCGATGCACCGCAGTGCCAACGCACAAGCTTCAGGTCGGGCATGTCCCCCTACAGGCAGATGTTCGACGAAAGATAAAAGATGGTCAGACAATATTGAAAAGAATGCTCAAGCACACTCGAAGCATCGTCCCCCGGCTACTTGTTGACTAGTTTGGGAAAAGTCCCCCTGTGGAGGCACAGGCCCGACCCAACACGAGCTCCTGGCTCCGCCGGCTCTGCGAGGCGGACCGCGCCGCTCGCATGCGCGGCGGAGGGGCGGGCGGAGGCGCGGAGGGAGGCGGCCGGCGGCGCCGCGGGCGGGCAGCTCGGGGCAGCCAGGCAGTGGCCCAGCCCTGTGAGGAAAGGCCTGTGAGGCCTCGCGCGGCAACCTGAGACCCGGTGTGCGTCGGACTCACGTCGGACTCACGTCGGGTTCACGTCGGACCACGTCGGGTTTGCGTCGGCTTTGCGTCGGCTTTGCGTCGGACTAGCGTCGACCCGTAGGCGTGTGGAATGGATCACTAGCGTCGGACTAGCGTCGACCCGTAGGCGTAGACTATTACGCGCCGCGCGAGGCCTCCAGGTTTTTCCTCGGAAGGTTTTTCCGTCTTGTCAGAACACGAGTCCATCAGCTCGGAGATCGATCCTTCTGGTGGAATCCGCGCAGCCCTAAAATCGCTTACACATGGGCGCATAGCCATCCGAAAAAAGATGCGTGTTCACAGCATCGTTTTTTTTCTCACAAGCGGACTGCTCATGACCAGCCCAGCACCAAAGGCAGCGAGCGACATAGGGCGCACCGGAGGCAGCTGCAGTGGGGCACGGCAGCGGGGACCAGGGCAGCAGCAGCACCGCGGAGCAGCAGCGGCAGGGCACTTCGCGCGCGAAGGGCGGAGGGCACGAGGCCCGAACCGAAGCCTGCAACCACGCCCCCTACTGGAACAGCCGGCCGCGCCATCCACCTCAGAAGCCCGCGGCGGGGGCGGAGACGCCGATCGAGACCACCAGGGGCGACGGCGTGGGGCAGGAGGCTCGCACATCGTCCGGTGCCTGCGGCGGGAGGAGGGAGGGGACGGCGCCCGCTGTCAGCCCGCTTGGCGTCACGCGACGCTCCGGCCGAGGCCGAGGTGCAGGGTGGAGCTCACCTGGGAGCCCTGGGAGAAATAGCCCTTGCTATGACGCGTCTACCAGTAGTGCAGCTTCCGAACCGAGAGGGCGCCATGGCGGCGGGGAACGCACAACGCTCCACCGGCTTCGGGAAAACTTCAGGATCCATGTATCGTCGCGCACACCCGAGACCAACGAACCGATCAGCGTGAACACCTCACGAGAGTTGACAAGTACCCGAGCGAACAGTCCTGGAAAAAGGGCGCGATGAACATGGGTCGACGGGCGGAAGGTGCCCGGGATGGCCCCACTGAAGCCTGAGTTAGCCAGGCCGGGACAGGGAGACGCACTCTCGACCACAAAGCAATGGGGAAACCGCCCCGTCACCTTCGAAGCAATGCGCACCCAGAGAGGGCCCACACAAGGAACAACACTTTTGGGCTCATGGCTCTCAGAGTTGGCACCCCAAATGAGAGAGGGAGAGGGAGGGAGAGAGGGAGAGAAGAAACGAGGGAACGATAGAGAGGGAGCGAGACAGAGAGACAGAGATACCGTGCCCGTCGAAAGTGCGCTGCCAAAACTGCGAAACAGTCGTCGCTGCCAGTGGCACTGCTGAGAGGCAATGCGCTGCGAGGCAGCCAGCGACCACGACAGCGACGACGACAACAACAACGAGAGCGACAACGACAGCGACAACGCCGACGACGACGAGGAGGGAGGGCGAGGCAAGAGGGAGGGCGACACGAAAAGGGCGGCATGGTTCCTGGATGAGGGCGTGGAAGAAGCATAGCCCGAAGAGCATCTTGCGGAACGCCCTCTGCTTCTGGCCGCTCTGGCTGCACGCCTCCTCGAACCACTCGTCCTCGGGGAGGAGGAAACCGGAGGGGAAACGCACGAAGGGAAAGGAAAAGAGGCCTGACCTGACAAACACGAGGATCGCCGCTCTTGTCCACTGGGGTCGTTGAGCGGACGGCGAGGGCAGCGCGGAGGGCGAGAGTGACAACGGGGCGGGGCAGGAGAACTACCACGAGGAAGGCAAACACAGTGACGAAGAGGAAAGGAACGAAGAGGACGCGAACGAGAAGGAGGAATGATGAGGATAAGGAGGATGAGGGGGAGGAGGAGGAGGAGGAGGAGGAGGAGGAGGAGGAGGAGGAGGAGGAGGAGGAGGAGGAGCAGGAGGAGGAGGAGGAGGAAGGAGGAAAAGGAGGAGGAGGAGGAGGAGGAGGAGGAGGAGGAGGAGGAGGAGAGGGAAATAGGAGAGCACCGCGATTGGTTCAAATTTACTACGGTCCACGCGGGAGTCTCTTGGCTATTGAGACCCTCTGGGGGGATTTTTGGGATCATGGCGGGAGGGTCCAGGGTGATCGTCTCGGTCGCCAAGGCGATCGTCTGAAATGACAGTGGGCGAAAAAATGGGGGGGGGGGGGGATTAAACAACAAATTTCGCGGCCCCGTGGCCTTGGCGGGCCAAGGAGCTCGGCTACCGGAGGACTGACAATCCCACCAGCCCTCTGGGCGTCGGCGGCTTAGGGAGTTTCCTCTTCCACCCCTCCTTCTCCCCCTTCGGGGAGGGGTGTAACCCTCCCCCGACCTCCTCCCCATGGACCTGGATAAAGGATTTCGCAAGGTGTCGGAACGCCCAAAACGGCCTCGGCGAGGAAGCCAGAATCACTGGTGTTACTCAGGTGTTGGCTCCATTGTGGCCTCCTGAAGGGGGGACCCTAATTAATGCCCGCCCTCCTGTGATCGATCTCACCCAAGATGGCCCAAAGATGGCCCCTAAGGCCCCCAAGGGTGCCCCAAGAGGGCCCCCAGAGGTGGCCAGGAATCCCCAAGAGGCCCCCAGGATGCCCCCAAGAGGCTCCCAAGAGACCCCCAGAGGCCCCAAGAGCCCCCCCAGAGGCACCCAAGATGCTCCAAGAGGCCTCGGCGTGAATGCCAAATCACTGGTTTTACGAAGGTTGTTTCCAAATGTTGGCCTCTGGGGGGGCACTGAACAAGATGAATCCAGGAGCGCCTGGGGGAGCCCAAAATGACCTCCAAGATGGTTCAAGATTTTCCAAGATGTCTCATAATGGTCCCAACGATGCTCCAACATGCCCCAAGACCGCCCCAAGACGGCTCCAAGTGGCCAAAGAGCTCCCCCAGGAGGCCCCGAAGAGGCCAAAACCTTAGGAAATTCTATGTGGTAGGCTTTCTCGCTTCCGATGGCCATGCGAGGCCTCAACATGGCTCCAAGATGGCCCAATATGGCTTGAAAAGAAGCTCCAGGGAGCCCGAAGACGGCCCCAAGAACGCCTAAGAGAGCTCCAAGAGCGCCCTATGAGCGCCCCAACGGGCGATTGTTTGGGCTGCCGAGGGGCAGCGCTAACTAATGCTCGTTTCTTGTTTGATCGATGTCCCCCCAAAATGGCCCCAAGAGCGCTCCCAAGGCTCCCAAGAGCGCTTCAAGAGGGCCCAAAGAGGCGCCCAGGAGGCCCCAACAGGCGCCCAAGAGGCCTTCAAGATGCTCCCAAGAAGCCCCCAAGAGGCCCCAATAAACTTCCCGATGCACCCAAGACGCTCCAAGAGGTCTCCACAGGGGCGCCCCCTTCCTCCGTGTGCTGCCCACTTCCTTGATCGAGGTAATTCTTCTGGGCATCGTTTCTGGATGGGCTGGTGGGGTTACGTTTTTGTTGATTGACGGCCCCATGGACAGATCCAGGAAGCGGGATGGTCTCGGCAGGGGCACAGGGCGACATAATTGGCTACGACGGCGCATAGGCCGACGCAACAAGTGCACGTGCCAAGGACAAGATGCCCCCCATTGAGATGCGGGCGACCCAAGAGCGGGGACGTAGGCATGGGAAGGACGAGGAGGCGAAGGAACGAGGAAAGGCGGCGGGCGCGAGAGCACGCGCGGACAGAAGAGGGGGGTAACCGAAGAACGCCTCACTCACATGGACTCCTGGGAGTAGTCGGGCATAAGCGAACGACCTATGCATGGAGACGTCGTCCCTGTCTCGGAGTCCATAACCTGCAACTGCCTGACTCTGAAGGCCGGGGGGATACAGCTGCAAGCATGGTCGAGCACCACGGACCACCCTGCGGGAGGGCCGAGAAGCACTCCCAAAGGATATACCACTTGTGCAGTAGCAAGAGCTCGATGGCGGCGCCCGCCGTGAGAAGCGGGACAACCAAGTCGTCGGCGTACAACGCGGGCAGCTTATCCATCACGAAAGACGGGGGTACAAAGATGCGAGCGTCAACCGGGGTGGCAGGGGCGCACCTGATGGGGGAACAACGGCAACCGGCCAAAGGGTGAACCACTTGTCGGGACAGCGCTCTTCCTCAGGTCCGGCCCCCGGTGGTGCCGGGGCGGGGTGGCGCGCCAGGCTGCACCATGCCGTAGCCCAGCACCAGAAGCGCCGAGAACCACTCCCAGACCACGCGGGCAAACCGCGCCCGCTCCAGGGGCTGGTGCCTCACCGGCGGGGGCGGACTGCAGCAGACCCCGGCTGTCCGAAACAACACATGGCAGCCGCGCAGCCCGACCGCACCTCGGAGCCCTGCCAGTGAACCTCCAGGTGCCAAAGATGCCCGAGTGCTCCAGAGGAGCCTCGGAGGAACCCGTGTGGCGCCGTATCAGCGCGAGAGGAGGAGGAGGAGGAGGAGGGGAGACGCAGCCGATAGCCGCACAATCCGGTAAATAGACGGAGGATGAGGGAGGGGCGACGCCAATGAAGACACTGTGAGTACTGTGGCCTCTGCGATCCCTCCACCGTGCGCTGCGGAGGGTTTTCTGCGACCGCGGGGGGAACAGAGCGCCTGACCTCTGTGGGGGACTGCGCTGTCACAGGGGACGCCACTATGTCGTCGTGAGTCGGAGATGCCACTGTGGTCGCTCCACTGTACCCTGTGGAGGGCCTGGAGGCTGTGGGGGGAACACCACGCCAGCAGGGCCAGACTATCGCGGGCCTGTCAGACCGAAACACTCCTTGGCGGCCCCAGCCATCGGAAAGCACCCCGAGTCTTGCCAGGGGGCCATCAGGGTGCCTTCGAGGCCCGTATAGCTCCTCGGCATCAGACTCCATGTGGGGGCGCAGCCGAGAGCCGCAGTGCCAGGTGGGCAGCGTTGGGGGGAATCCGAGCGATGCGGAACGCCGACTGAGCAAAGAGGAGGAGGAGGAGGGGGAGACGCAGCCGAAAGCCGCACAATCCAAGGAAAAAGAGGAGGAGCGGGAGGGGACGCCACTCTGTCGTCGACGGTCGGCGATGCCACTGTGGCTTGATCAGGTCAACGACACGGCACGAGTAGCCCCACTCGTTGTCGTACCAGGCCACGAGCTTCACGAACGTGGGGTCCAGCATGATGCCCGCCTTGGAATCAAACGTGCTGGAGATGGGGCACGTCTCGAAGTCGGTGGACACGAGGGCCTCGTCGCAGTAGCCTGGGAACCCCGTCATGTCGCCCTCCGAACGCCTCTTGATCTCGGCGCAGAGCTCCTCGTAGGTCGTCGCCTTCTCCAGCTCACAAGTGAGGTCCACGTGAAACAGGCGGGCTTAATTTGTGTCTCAGGTTTTGCATTTAGTTTGCGTGTCATGATCCGACGCGTACTCATGATGGCTCCAGGGAAAAACATTTACTGCGCTTGCTGCTGCCACAGTTGGTAGCGGAGCCTGGTTCCAGGCTGGCGGGCCAATGGGAGGCGACGGGCGGCAGCTCTGAGGGCTGCGCCCGGAGGCCGCTCCAGCGCTCCCGGCCAGGGCCAGGCTCGCGCCGCCAGCGTGGCGCGGCCGCGAAGATGCCCGCGGAGGACGATCAGTTCGCCTGCGCGACGTTCAGCCCCGACGCCCCCAGGGGGCAGCCAGCAGCCTGGGCGGCAGCGGCGTCCGACGGCACAGTGACGATATCCATGGACCAACTCCGAGAGATAGTGGCCGGCACGATCCGAGAGACCATCGGTGCCGCTCAGCCCTCTCGGGCTGGAGCAGAGACGGCCGAGGAAGCCGGCTCAACTCCTCGGAGGACTACGACAGACGACGATGGCGACGGGAAGCCAAAGGATCCTGGGTGGAAGGCAGCAGCAGCGGATCCATGGAGCTCAGGCTCTGACCCGTCGCGAGCCTGGCAGCGACCAGGCTGGCAGGACGACATCAGCAAGGACGACAGCTGGAGAACGACCGGTAGGGACGACAGGTGGCAGGACGGTTGGTGGTCCAGCTCGGGTCAGACCTGGGAGAGGGGAGACTATTCCGACCCCCCGGCGTGGCCCGGATGGGCTCAGTACCGGCCCTGGCGCCGGGCACTGAGGCGCTGGAACACGAACACCGACGTGCCTCACTGGAGACGTGGCGAAAAGTTCTTGAAGCTGTTTGACTACGCCATGCAGGCGAAGTTTGACGACATCCCAGAGGCCCAGATCACCGGCGAGGACTGGATTGACGTGGTGCTCGGGCGCATGGACCTCATGATCGGTGAACGTGAAGGAGATGAGCTCAGGAGGGCAGGTCGACGAGCACTCTTCGAGGCGGCTCGCGAGAACAAAGAAACCCTCATCCAATGCGTGAGTCGTCGTGAGGCCCAGTTCCAGGAGGCCGAGACCAACGACCTCTGGATCTCATCCAAGATGAAGGGGCTCATGCTCGAGGAGGGGGCGAACCTGACCGCCCAAGGTTTACAGAATCTTAGGACCCTCACTCGTGGCCAGCTCGAATATAGTGACGTGAGCTGGGCCCTGAGGCAAATGGATGCTTCGGGCTCAGAGCGCCTTCTGCCAGGTAGGTCATCAGGCAACTATGCTGAGGGTGAGGACCCCAGCGAGCAGAATTATCTTCCCCCCTCCTCCTCCTTCCCGGTCGGTGGTTCCGAGGGTTCCGACGACCTGGAGTACGATGAGGAGGAGGACGACGAGGCCGACCTGGACGATGAAGCGGCGCTGCTGGCAGAGCTAGAGGACCTCGACTTGGACGAGACCCAGGTGGAGGAAGCCCTCACCATGATGGAATCCAGACCGGCAGACCGGACCTGGAAGCAGAACAAAGAGATCAAGCGCGCGGCCAAGCGCGACAGGGAGTACTTTGACTCGAAGAAGGCTGGTGCCGCGCCTCCGCCCCCACGCCGACTCGGGGGCAGCGGCAAGGGTCGAGGCAAGCAGGAGCGAGGCAAGGGACGCGGCAAGGGTCGCCGCGCACGCCTCACTCCTGAGCAGCTGATGAAGATCACGAGGTGCGGGATCTGCAAGGAGAAGGGGCACTGGCACCGCGAGTGCCCCAACAAGGACGACCCCAAGTTCAAGAAGCGCGGCCTGGCCGCGTACACCTTCGACGGCTTCGCGTCGGACCCGGTGGGCACGTGGGCGGTGTCTCCGGAGACCATGCAGGACTGGAAGGAGGTCGGCCAGGAGCTGCTCGACGACGGCTGCGTCTACCTGGTGGCCCGGGCGACCCAGGGGCTCGTGGACCCAGGGGCGGGCTCGGACTTAGTCGGCCTCGCTGCTCTCAATCGAGAGTCCAGGGCCCTCGCAGCCCTTGGCATGAAGTACGAGATGATTCCGAAGCAGCATCAGCGACCACGAGCAGCACACGGAGTGGGCGGCATGGCGAAGGTCGTGACGTCAGTGCTCTTCCCGCTGTGTCTCGGAGGTGTGCTGGGCGTCGTCGAGACGACGGTGCTGCAGGAAGAGGTTCCCCACATTTTGTCGGTCAACCTCCTAGAGTTCCTGGGGTGCGTCATCGACCTACCTCAGAACAAGATGACCTCCACCACTCTCGAGGCGGACATCCAGCTGACGCGTCTCGGCTCCGGCCACTGGATGGCCACGATAGTGCAGGCGCTCGATCTGCCGCTGAGCGTGCCAGAGTCCGCCCTGCGGAAGTATCCTTTTCTTTCTCAGAATTCGTTCCGACTGGACGCCGGCGAGGCGCCTGAGATGCTCGAGTCAGGAGCCCTGAGGGCCTACACCATCCTGGCCATCATCATCCTCGTTATCACCATGCTCACGACGGTGGGTGCCTGGGTGGTGGGTCCCGAGGGGGTCTACGAGAGGGTCGTCTTGGGAACGTGTGCTTATCTCACGGGGAACGGCCTCACGTTGGCCATCCTCCGGAAGGGGCTCCAGCACGACCTTATCGGGCACCTCAGGTCTCGGGCTTAGCTAGCGTCTTGGGAACTTAGCCTCAGATCTTCAGGAGCAACTAAGGCGACGTGCTCAGCGAGGGCCTCGACAAGCACCGAGTCTCCACGATCCGAGGCACCCCCGGCAGGGACCGGTTCCGTAGCCCATTTTGGCCCAAGCCATCAGCTAGCATCAGCCGGTTCGACCATCAGGCGACCCTCGCCCCAGCTAAACGCCAGCACCAGCCGAGATGTTCTGGGCTCGGCTGCTTCTCGTGACGACGGCAGCAGCGACGCCTGCTCCGACTCCCCGCAAGCTCCCGAGGGCATTCCATGCGACGCAGCAGGCTCTGGAGGAGCTTCACCAGCAATATGTGGCGGGCGCTGGAGGCGACGGCAACGGGGTGAACCATCCGGTGCCGACGGACTCCGAGACGGAAACGCCGGGCGAGCTCCGGCCAGCAGGTGCCGCCGGCGGGACCGACGCCGAGTCAGCAGGAGGCGGCGCCGGGATCAGCACACCCCGTCCTCTGGTCAGCAGCACCTCATGCAGTGCAGTGGCCGCCTCAGCCGGCGCCGGTGAGCTACGGTCCCCAGGGACTCGGACCCCAGCCGCCACCGCCGTCCTGCCCGCCGCCGGAGGTCCTGGCGGCCCAGGGCTTCGCGCAGACTCAGCCAGGGGCGGCGGCTCCACAACCGCAGCAGCAGCCAACGGCTCTCGTGGGAAAGCCAGCGCCTCTCCTCCCCACGAAGCCGGCGCCAATGCCGTGGAAGCCGCCTCCGAAGCCAGACCCGCGGTCGGGCAGGCTTCCTCCCCAGCAGGGAGGCCCAGCGATCATCCCGAGCGGGACCCAGCAGGCGGCGCCGTTACAGAACGACTGCACCCACCCGGCCGACCAGATCCAGTACTACGGAAATCAGTGGGGGAGTGGCTCCAAGTGCCGGGCCTGTGGCACTCGGCTCGCCCGGATACCGAGAGGGCCCGCGGGCGCAGCAGGTCAGGGACCTGGCGGACAGGACGACCGTCCGGAATCGGCGGCTCAGGCAGCCCGGTCGGCGGCGAGCTCAGCCCAGAGGGCCGTGGACATCCTACAGGAGGCCGGCGGCTTCCAGCAGGGCGCGGCAGCGCTCACCACGGTCAACCAGCTCGCGGGTCACCTTCAAGCGCTGCAGTGGCAGCTTCACAATATCCCGGAGGGCCTAAAAGCGCTCGGCAACGTACAGGAGACGCTGAACCAGATGATTCAAGTGGCTCAGAACGTGCAGTACCACCCGAGCCAGGTGGAAGAGGGTCTCCTCCAGATTCACCAGTCCGTGATCACGATACAGAGGATCCTGGGTTCAATGGAATCCTTCGGGGAGAGCCTCGACTTCATCCAGACCACCTTGGACCGTGTGGTGACCCGCACCGGGAACATCGAGCAGGCCACAAACCAGATGGTGATGATGATGGTCTCCATCGGTACAGCAGTGCAGGGTCTGGTCGAGAATCAGAACCGCTGGATGCAGCAGGAGGCTTCGGCGACGGCAGCGAGCAGTGCGGGGCCTCCGCATTTCGACATCGGCACGCCGCACGAGTGGCAGCTGGCGCCGAATGGTACCGAGGGCGGAAGTGGAGTTCTGAACAGTGGTGGAGACTCGGGGACCACGGTCACCACGACGACCACGACCGGGACCACGACCACGCCTACCACCACGACCACGCCCATCATCACGGAGGCGGACTTCCAGGGATGGGAGATCATCTGAGCGGGCACGCACCCAGCACGCTCCGGCGCTCAAAGGAGCGAGAGTCCCAGACTTCTGTGCTGCGGCTGGCAGCAGACTTCTCGGGCGGCTGCGCCTGCAGCGGCCACGAGGGTCAGGAGAGAGCTCCCCCCTCTCCTCCATCTCTTTCCAATCTTTCTGCCTCTCCCCTGTGCTGCTATCCCCTCTCCGGGGCTCAGCCTGCCTTCTGTTTTCCCACGTTCGTTGCGAGCAGCTCGGGGCCCTCAGACGAGAGAGATCGGATTCTCGGGAGTTTTTGAGGTTGTCCGAGGCGTTCTACCTCGATGGAGACGTCACCAATGACGACCACGAGGTGGCCTGCCCAGGACCGGTGTCGAGGGCCCTGGAGCGACAAGTCACCACTCACATGGGAGCCCCGGGACCGACACTTTTCGGCGAGGAAGCAGCTGCAGGATGTTACCCGAGTCGGTCTCGCGCCAAGACCGCTTTCTTGGAGGTCTTTTCCCCACCTCGCATAGCACCCGAGGTCGGCAAGCTAGGGGGCCCCCTCGGCAAGGACCCCAGCAGGGATCTCATCACGGGTTGGGACTCCTCAAACAGGGCCCACGTGCGAGAGCTTTGGCATCAGATAGAGACCGAGGACCCTGAAGTCGTGTGGCTTAGCTCAGAATGTACGGTCTTCTCTGCGATCAATCGCCTGAATAAGAACCGACGGGATCCGAACGATTGGCGACAGGAGGTCCAACGCGGTCTGAGAGACCTGATCTTGTGCATGGAGATCGCAGCTCAGAGATACACTAAGGGGCGGTACTTCGCCGTTGAGCATCCGTTGTTTGCCAGTTCCTGGACCTCTCATGTTGTATCGTACGTAGCCTCTCTCCCAGGGGTTCAGAGACTAAAGATCGACATGTGCCAGTTCGGGCTCCAGGAGGATGCGAGGGGGCTGAACAAGAAACCGACGGGGATTCTGACCAATCATCCGGGCATCATCCGGGGGCTCTCGGGACATCTCTGCATGGGCGGTCACCGTCACGCGGTGTTGGAGGGCAGTTGGAAGACCTCCCGGGCCGCGAGGTACACTCACCAGTTCGTCAAGAAAGTTGCTCGCGCGGTGACCGACCATTGGAGCGGCGCCTCGACTCGAGCCAGGCCCACCTGGGCTGAGTTGTCCGAGGCCTTCCCGGCGGCAGCTGGCGAAGACGAGCCCCAGGGCCGAGAAGCGGAAGCCGAGGCGGAAGACTCCGAGAGCAGCGGAGACGAGCAAGAGACTCGAGTCGACCGGCGCAAGGTCGGGGTGCCGAACGACCCAGACCCCAATGAAGAAGAAAAGCGTCTCATATTCAAGCTGCACGTGAACATGGGACATCCGGATTCCCAGAAGTTGTGTCGCGTGTTGCGGGCTGGGGGGGTCAAGAGGCATTTGGTGAGATGGGCCCGCACCAGGTTTCGGTGCTCCGAATGCGAGAAGAGGCAGCGATCGAGCAACCACCGAAAGGTGGCCATGCCCAGGACTTTCAGGTTCAACCACATCGTAGGGATTGATTTGTTTTACCTGGAGTTTCTGGGAACGACCCACCCGTTCATGAATGTGGTCGATCACGGATCCAACTTGCAGGTGTGTACTCGCCTGGCCGACGCCAAGGCGGCCACGGTCTGGCGTGCCTTCTCAGCGAGCTGGATCAGGCCCTTCGGGGCCCCGGACTTCCTGATATCCGATGGGGGTGCTGAATTCGGGGAGCGGTTCGCTCGAGGTCTTGAGCAGTGGGGGGTTTGCCACCACGTCTGCGACGCAGACAGTCCGTGGCAGAACGGGAGGGTCGAGCGTCACGGTGCCTGGGTTAAGGAACGCTTGAAATCCGAGATCGATGCCGGGGTTTCCCTTCCCAGCAGCGTCGAAGAGCTCGACGACCTGACCCATGAACTCGTTGCCCACAAAAACTGTTTCTGGCACCGAGGAGGTTTTCCCCCCAACAGTTAGTCTTCGGGCGCAACCCACGCATGCCGCACGAGCTTTTGTCAGATGACGTACGCGGCCTCCCAGGATGGCATGATGCGACCTGCCCCGCCTCCGAGCAGGACGCGGCCGGGGCCGAGTTCGCGCGTGCCCAGGAGGTCCGAACTGTGGCCCGCAGACTGGCCATGGAGGCCACGGCTCGGGATAAAATAAGTCGCGCTTCGAGGGCCCAGGGACCCGCGTTCAAAGAGTTTACCCCAGGCCAGTGGGTGTTTGTGTGGAGGAACCTCAGCAGGACGTCGTCGAGAGCTGACGCCCTCGGTCGGAGAAGAGCCTGCTGGACAGGCCCAGGGGTGGTGGTGCTGTGCGAAAAGGGAACCGTCTGGGTGGCTGTCTGGGCCAGGCTTTGGAAGTGTTCCACTGAGCAGGTCAGACTTGCGAGTCCCGAGGAAGAATAGGGCCTGCAGTTGGCTCAGAGTCCCCAGTGGCAGGAACTCCTGGCCCAGGTTCACACCAGGAGAGACACGGCTGTGGACGTGCAGAGGGAAGGCCCACCTCCTGACGAGGCCTGGGATGAACCCGCTCGGCCTGACGCCGACCCGGGTCCCGAGGTCCCCGGCTCGTCAGGACCCGCCCCTCCGTCCACCCATGACGCTGAGGACGTCGCGGCGCCACATCCTCCTCCCTCGGTGGTTGGTCCCCTGCTTCCCTCAAGGAGGTCGGCGCTGGGGGTGCTTCGGGGCTCCATAGCCCCTTCCGAGGCGGGGTCGGCGGAAGCCCAGGCCGGAAGCGAGCGGACCAGACTTCCCTCCATCGCGGAAGGATCGGGGAGCGATCCTGGACCGTCACCAGGAGAATTTAGACAGGTGACCGAGCCAGGCTCCGAGACCGGCCCCGTCGGAGACGAGGCGGAGCCTGAACCTACCTCCCCATCTCCTCCTCCTGAGCCGGCTCGCCCCGCTCCCAGGACGAGGCTGACTCAGCCAGAGGACGTGCCAGCCTGCATCCAGAGGTCGAGGGCGTTGAGCAGTCCACCCGAGCTCAAAAGGGCTCGATTCGGAGACGAAGCCTCGGGGCCATCCTCTCCTTCCGTTCCCCCCGGTCTTCCCTTTCCTTCCCTTGCTCCCGCTCCTGCTCCCTCTCCTGCTCCTGCCCCCGCCCCGGCTTCCTCCTCCTCCTCCATTCCTTTCCTTTCCATGGGCAGCGGAGAAGGGGAGGCGCGTCCAATCGCCTCTCGGGCCGAGGGTAGGAGGCCAGTCTCGGAGATCGTCGACGACTTCGAGACAGGCCGCGTTCGAGGCTGGAGCCGGTCGCCTCACGACCGGCAGGAGGGTCAGGCCGGAGCGGCATGGGAGAGCGAAGATTTGTTTCTCATCCCCGGTGGTGGTGGTGGTGGTACTGAAGGTGTCCAGGCGGTCCCGGCCAGCCAGGTTCCAGGCGATAGTGGCAACGACTGGACTGGACTGATCGCCTCGGAGGGCGGCTCTTTCGCCGCCAGCCGAGGAGGCGAGGTCAGCCTCCAGCAGCTTACGCCCGACGAGCGTCAAGAGTTTCGAGTTGCGGATAAGAAAGAGTGGGAGGCCATGATGGCTACCGGAGCTGTGGAGGTCATTACCCCCTCCAAGGCTGACGTTGTAAGTCTCAGCCCGAGCGGGTCATCTCGAGTCGGATGGTCAGGCGCTGGAAGCCTGTGGAAGGCACGGGATCAGAGCCCTCGGCCAAATCGCGCTGGTGCGTTCACGGACACCGCGACCCCGACTCAGGATCTCTCCAGGTCTACGCTCCGACCCCCCAGACGACGAGCATCATGTTGTTCGTACAGGTGCTCATGAACATGAGCATGCTGGCGGACATCGCCGATGTCAAAAACGCTTTCTGTCAGTCAGATCCGATGACACGGTCGCAGGGATATATATATATATATATATATATATACGTCGAGCCCTGCGAGGGCATCGAGCTGCCGAGGGGATCGTTGATATTGCTGCGTGTCAACGTTTATGGCTTAGATGATGCCCCCGTCGCCTGGAGGCGCACGGTGGTCAAGTTCCTGGAACAACATGGGTTCATCAAGAGCCTGCTCGAACCCTGCTGGTGGGTCCGGTACGGGTCCCAGGGCCAGATCTTGAACATGATACTCCTGGAGGTCGATGATTTCTTCATTGCCAGCGCCGACTCCGCGTCCAGGAGCTGGCTGAGAGAGACTCTGGAGTCTCGATTCAAGTTCGGCAAGTACAGGAATTGCCACGAAGGATCTGTCGACTTCGCTGGCAGACGAGTGACCATCGGCCCCGGTCGAGCTGTGCTTGACCAAGAAAAGTACATCCTCGAGGAAATTAAACCCGTCTCGGTGGCCCGATGTCGCCTGGCTCGTAAGGATACTCCTCTTGAGCACTCGGAGTTCATGGCTCTTAGGTCGCGGGTCTATAAGTTCAACTGGGTGGGGAGGGAGACCAGGCCCGACGCGTCCATCCTCGCCAGCAGGCTAAAGGCACCAACCACGGGAGACGTCTCTCTAGCCAACAAGCTAGTACGCCACCTCCGATCCACTGCCTCCCGAGGGCTGACGGTATGGAAGCTCGATCCTGAAAAGATGGCCTTCGTCTCGTTCTCAGATGCGGGTGGAGTGGGCGCCCAGGACGATCTACTGGACGACAAGGGGCTACCCGAAGACCCCACCCAGGGAGCATGGATGGTCCTCGCGGCGGACGCCGACATCTTAGGTAACCGAGCAGTTCGTGCATCAATGCTGGCCTGGAGGAGCTCTAAACTCCGACGGAAAGTACCGTCGACCCTCGCTGGTGAGACCCAGGCCCTCAGTGCAGCTGTCGCCGAAGTCGAGTATCTACAGATACTATACCGGGACGTGGTTTTCCAGGACGTCAATGTGTAGAATCACCGTCGGGGTTCCGGGCCATTCACTACTATCCTGCGCAGCGATTGCCGCCTAGGCTCTCGCGAGCGCCAGGTTCACGTAGTCGACGCAAAAAGTATCTACGATACGATGATGAAAGAGGGCAACGCTAGTGCACGAGACAGGAGAACGGCCATCGACATGGCGATCATATGTTCCGCCCTGGAGGAGGCCAAGGGGAAGGTCCGCTGGATCCCCCATGGCCGGATGCCGGTCGATGCCCTAACTAAGGACGACATCACAAAGGGCAACGCGGCACTATTTGATCTCATGATCAGTGGTAAGCTGATTCTAGTGGACGAGTCAGAGGAAGTAGAGCGCCGACGTACAACTCCAGGACTCAAGAGCAGGACCCAGGCGGCTTCCAGGAAGACCCTAGAGGGCCAGCAGCTGGTGACGTGGCGGGAGTTCCGAGACCTTTGCCAGGAGGTTGGTGGTAGTGGTGGTGGTCCCTCCTTCTCCTCTTCTCCTCCCTCCTTCCCATCATCCGATGCTGTGTTTCAGTGACTCCGCTGTCTGTGCGTGTCAGGATGTCTTCCCCGTTTTCCCTTTCTTCCCAAGGGTTTGAGCAGTCGTCCTGGGGACGTACTGCGGAGGCGCAGGCCACAGTGGCCGGGCGCCCAGGGGCTGCAAAACCTGCAAGAAAGTCTTACCTGTGAAACAGGCGGGCTTAATTTGTGTCTCAGGTTTTGCATTTAGTTTGCGTGTCATGATCCGACGCGTACTCATGATGGCTCAAGGGAAAAACATTTACTGCGCTTGCTGCTGCCACACACGACCGTCACGTCGATGGTGGGTACGCGGACAGCCATGCCGGTGAGCTGCCCGCCACCTCTGGCACGACCCTGGCCACCGCCTTGGCCGCCCCCGTCGAGGAGGGGATGATGTTGCCGGACGCCGCGCGGCCACCATGCCAGTCCATTTTCGACGCCCCGTCCACGGTTGGCTGAGCCGCGGTCATGGCGTGGATGGTGGTCATCAGGCCCCGCTTGATGTCGAACGCGTCGTTGACAGCCTTCACCGTGGGGGCGAGGCCGTTGGTGGTGCACGACGTGCCCGAGACGCACTCCATGTCACTCTTGTAGGTGTCCTGGTGCACGCCCATCACTATGGTGTGGCTGTCGTTCTTAGCCGGGGCCGAGAACACGACCTTCTTCGCGCCCGCCTTGAGGTGCGGCTGGATCTTCTCATCCGACAGGAACACGCAGGTGGACTCGCGGACGTAGTCCGCACCGTGCTCCTTGCAGGGGATCGCTGTCGGATCACGGGTGTGCGACAGCGCCACCTTGTGGCCGTCGATCACCAAGGAACCCCCGTCGACCTCGACAGTGCCGTCGTACCTGCCGTGGATCGAGTCCTACTTCATTTGGTACGCGAGATACTCCGCATCGTAGCTCGCGCTCGCCAGCTTCAGCTCCGTCTCTGGGTCCTTCATGACGATGCGGGCCACCTGGCGCCCGATGCGCCCGAAATCGTTAATGCCAACACCGACCGCCTCCCTGGTCACCTTCGTGGATGAGCGGCGACGGCTCGCAGCCACACTCACGACGCTCGGAAGCACCCCGAGTCTTGCCAGGGAGCCTACAGGATCGTTCGAAGCCCGTGCCGCTCCTCGGTGTCAGACTCCGTGTGGGGGCGCAGCCGACAGCCGCAGCGTCCGGTGGGCAGCGTTGGGGGGTACCCGAGCGACGCGGCACGCCGACTGAGCAAGGAGGAGGAGGAGGAGGAGGAGGAGGAGGAGGAGGAGGAGGAGGAGGAGGAGTCGCAGCCGATAGCCGCACAATCCGGCATCGAGGTAATTCCTCTGGGCATCGTTTCTGGATGGGCTGGTGGGGTTACGCGAAGCGTTTAGACTTTGGTCTGGCCACCGGGCCGCATGGGAGGCCAAGGGGGGCCCGAGGGCTGACAATTCGGAGCGGCGGGGGGCTATTTGGACTGGTCGACAGCACACCCTGCCCACTGTCGCCGGCGTCTTGCAATCCTGGGGGGGGTGAAGACCGACAAGCGATGACGACAACGACGACGACAGCGGATTGTGGATGGCACTGGGGGGGCTGCGTGGACGTTTTGTAATCCTGGGGTGACACCGGACGACGACGACTAAGGCGCACTGCGGATGGCAACATGAAGGAGGGGCGGGGTGCTGCGTCGGCGTCCTGCAAACCCGCAGGACGAGACAGCGACGACCACGGCCTTTTGTGGATAGTGCTGCGAAAACGTCGCGCGCACCTGGGGGACAAGGATGACGACGGCCCTCGGACCCGGCGCCGGCGGGCGACGGACGGCGACGACGGTCCTTTGCGGAATTTGCTGATGGCATGATGGGGGGCTGCGCAGATGGCTTGCAGTCCTGGGGAGGAAGACGACCACGACAACGAGGACGACGGCCTTTCGTGGATGGCATGTTGGGTGTGGGTGGGAGGGGGCGAGCGCGGGTGCTGCGTAGGCGGCTTGCAGTCCCAAGGGGTGACGAAGACGACGACGATGACGACGACGGCCCTTTGCGGATGGCATGTAGAGGGCAGGGGGGGCGTAGGCGTGTTGCAGTCCCGAAAACCGATGACCACGGACGACAAAGACGACGACTGCCCTGTGCGGATGGCATATGATGTGCGTATGCTGCGCGGGCGTCCTGCTGTCCTGGGGCGACCACGGACGACGACGACGACGACAACGACCGCGGCGGCAGCGGCGACGAATGACGACGACGACGACGACGACGACGACGACGGGATGACGACGGACGAGATGACGACGGTCAACGCGACGCCCAGATAAAAAAAGTTCCGCCGCCCCACCAGATGATGTTCGCCTGCCGCGCACAATGGGAAGGCGACCACCACATGGCACGCCCGCACACATGGGCACCGTCTAGGGTGCTGCGGGTACGGCGCCGAAGCGCCGGAGTGACAGAGAAAAGGAGGCCCGATCAGAAGTCCTGTCCTCGAAGCTGAAGATCCTGCCCTCGAGGCTGGAGGCCGACAGGTGGGGGTCAAAGGCTGCAGGTGGAAGACTGAATGTCGGCAGCTGGTGATCATCTGGGGGGAAGTCGGGGGGGGCGGGAAGCTGCGTCGGCGTCGGACGATAAAAAGCAGTTCCGCCCCCACCCCCAGATGTTGTTCGCCTGCCGCGCACAATGGGAAAGCGACGGGCTTTTTGTGAATCGACTACCTCCAGGGGTCGCTTTTGCAGCCCGGCTTTTTCTCCTCCTCCTCCTCCTCCTCCTCCTCCTAGCCGCTACGGGCCCAAAGGGACCTTGCCCGCGCGCACTTCGCAGCGGTGCAGCGCGGGCGAGCCATGGTGGATGTGAGGTGAAGATGGGCATCATCAGCACGTCCCCAAGCACTCTTGCAAGCATTGGCGCAGCCGAGACGAAGATTCAGGGCAAGATCGAGCCGAAATTGTTTGGCAAGTTTGCCATTCCAGTTGATGGGGATGCTGGGGACCGTTGCGGTGAAGATCGTTTCATTCTAGTCGTGTGGCGCATGCCGCGTGAGGCCGTGAACGCGTGGAGCGTTCTGCGTGAAGATGGCAGCGACCAGCACTGGCTGAGGTTCTCCGGCGCTTCCCTGTGCAAGGTCGTTCCAGCCTGACTTGGGGTCGGGGCGCTGAGCCTCGCGTGGCCAGGGACCGCAAGAGCGGTTCGTATCATCAGAGCCCTCAGAGGCCTCCTCCTCTTCTGATGGGCCCGTTCTCCACCACCACCACCATGAGTTTGAGGAGGAAGGAGGAGGAGGACGAAGAGGAGGAGGAGGAGGAGGAGGAGGAGGAGGACCCCATCCCCCTCCAGCCTATGGTGGCGGTGGTGGAAGACAGGCCCATCCTCCTCCTCCTGCAAGGGTCCTCCGGGGGCGGCCTCCGTTGCAGCCCAATCGGGCGGTCGCTTCTTCGGCATTATCAGGGGGGCCACGTGCAGGCCGCGCCTCCCCAGGGACCCGGCTGCTCCCCCCCCCGACTGCTGTGGACCTCGTCTACGCTCTCTCGAAGGAGCCCTGGGGGCGGTTAACACTGACCTGGAAACGAGGATACCTCGCCCATACATATATATATATACACACACATATATATACACATATAGAGAGAGGTCGATCATGACACATCTATATATATACATATATATATACACACTCACATACACGTATACAATATGTATGTGTATAAATCTATATATAGATGCTTATAGACATGTGTATACATATATCTATATATATATATACATACACGCACCCGATGGCGAAATTGCATATGTCCCTGGGCAGGGTGGAGCACACAGGCCCGATCGGCGATCAGCGAGCGTTGGGGTGCTGATGCGCCCCTCCCCCCCCCCCTTCTCCTGGGCCACCTCCCTGCCCCCGTCGCTGCCCCCGGAGGGGAAGCTTGGGGAGTGCCCGGGGAAAGCCGGCCGGGGAGGAGCCCGCCTGCGCCCTGTGACGGGACCGGGCCCCCCCTCCACGTCTGCCGCTCCGCCCTCGCGAGGCGCCGGCGGGAACGAGAGGGAGGCAGGAGTGGCCAGCATCGAATCGACACTTGGAATCGAGCAGTCATTCAGCAGGTTCACCTCCTTCCTGATCCTCCCTCACCCCATCCTCTGGTTGTTCTCCGACTGTCTGGGAGAGGGGAGGGGGAGGAACGGGGTGGATCTGTCTAGCTGCCCTCCTCCGAAACAAAACTGGTACAATCGGAACGGGCGTCGGATCATCGGTCCGCACCGGCACGAAGTCGACATCGTATCAGATCGACCGTGCCAGGATGCACAACAACGCCCATGCAAGCATCGGGCCGCATGGGATCGTCGGAACATCGGAGTCGAATCGGATCGCGCCGACCGAAGGCGATGCCGAATCGAATCGATCGAATCGAACTGGGCCCTGCGGAGGGGAGCGTCGAAATGGGCGGATGGCCCTTCACCCCCCCCGCCGCGATCTCCACCCAGGTAGTGCCTTGCGCGGACGCCCGGGGAGCTCGTGTCCGACGGGGGGGGACGAGGACGAGCACGACGAGCACGACGACGACGAGCACGACGGTGGCGAAGATAACGATGACGACGACGACGACGACGACGACGACGACGACAAGTGGGATGAGCAGGACGATGACGAGGGGGAGAAGCAGGACGACGACGAGGGCCAGGACGACGACGAGCACGACGAGGGCGACGACGACGACGCGGGCCAGCGTCGCCTTCTGACCCCGGCCCCCCCTGGCGGAGCGGCCCCCCCGTCCTCGAAGGAGAGGTAGGCGCGGAGCAGGTTGGACTTCAGGCCCTTCGGCGGCTCCACTGGGGGCCGATCTCTTGTCTATGGGCAACGCCCACGGGCCTGCGCCTCCGTCCGCCGGCCTCCGGAGAGCGCGGCGCGGAGGGGGCCCCCGCTGTTCCTCGTGCTGCCGCTGCTCCTCCCCTTCCCCGTGCCTCTTCCCCTCCCTGCCTTCCTCCTCTTCCTCCTCCTCCTCCTCCTCCTCCTCCTCCTTCTCCTCCTCCTCCTCCTCCTCCTCCCCCGTAGCCATTTTGGCTCAAGGGGCCTGCTCCTGAACTTCCCAACCTCTGCTCGAGTCTGGCAGGCAGCGCTGCCAGTTTTTGCAACCAACCATTCAGCTCCTCGGGCGGGCCGCAGGCGCCGCCATTTGCATCGCTCTCTCGTGCAGCCCACGCGCTGCGGACAGGCCATGGCTCCTTCAAAGAGCTACCGTCAGTGGGTCCGTTGCTCTCGCCAGGGGTGCAAAGGATGGTCCTACACGGACCGCAACAACAAGTTCTGTTCCCAGTGTGGCGCCACCTTCCCCAAGCCTGGACAATCCAAGTCAGGACCGCCGCCTTCGTACCAGTCTGGAGGAGGTAAATCGATGGGGATGGGAGATCGTCATGGTGCCGAGCAAGGACGAGGCAATCGTTGGTCTCGTTTCAAAGATAAGGGCCAGAATGAGTTCGTCGCCACAACCCCCCCAGAGTCAGCCGCAGGTGCAGACGACCCAGTCGCCGTGTACTCGGATCTTGTCAATTGTTGGAAGGTTCATGAGGGCACGGGGGGAGAGAATTATGCCAAAGCCGTGGTTGCTCTCAAGCAAGCGAAGTCCTCAGCCCTCCAAGGCAAGCCCCTGGAACAGCAGTGCCAATCCCTTCGCGATCAGGTCTCCGCCGCCCAAGGCAAAATCAAGAAGTTCTCCGAGCAGATCAAGGGCTACGTCGACGAGATCTCCGCCCTGGCCGACAAGGTCGTCGCCATGGAGTCGGACAAAGTCGCCGCCACCGCCGAGCTGGAGCAGCTGGAGGGTCAGCTGGCGGTCGCCATCCGCGCGGTGGCGCAGCAGGCGCCGGCCGCAACCTCCACCTTCTTCCCGCAGGTTGCTAGATTCACGGGATAATTCCAGCACGGGCCAGTCGTGGGCGTTCCTCCTCAGATCCAGGAACAAATCCAGGCCCTGGAGAAGTCCCTCACAGCAGCCTACCAGCAGCAGCAGCAGCAGCAGCAGCAGCAGCCGCAGCAGCAGCAGCAGCCGCAGCAGCAGCAGCCCCAGGAAGAAGCAGCTCGGGCAGCCGTTAGTGAGGGCAAGCTCCCCATCTCAGGAGAAAATGTTCCTGTTCCAGTCGGAGACGCTCCCGCCGCTCCCCCAGCCTCAGCAGCCACCGCAGGGGCCCCAACTGCAGCAGAGCCCACAGCCTCAGCAGCCACCGCAGGGGCCCCAGCAGTCAAAGAGCCCCAGCACAGAGAGGGTATGGACCAAAGCCAGACCTACAAGCGGGGCCAAACGGAACGTGCAGCTGCTCTGGAGAGAACAAGCCGTGTTGTTACCAGCGCAGGGGATCATGGGGACCAGGCAGCCAAGCTCCTCAAGCAAGCAGCAGACGCCGCAGCAGCAATGGGCAAAGATCGGTCTAACCTTTAGCCATACTATGCAACTAGATACTCTGAGTGGCAGCTGTTGGGAAGCTGCCAAAAGTTCTGTCCCGTCGTCATTCTCTCAGAATGTCATTGCGATATGCTGTCAGGAGGAATCGAATCGTAGATGCCAAGCAGTGGTGCCAAAAAGAGGGGTGACATTCTGTTATCTCACCTTGTTTCACAAGTGAAGCTAATCGGCCAACGTCAGGCACTGCCATTCTTGTCAGGGCAGGACTAGACGTAGGCGTTCGACCCGCAGTGCTCCCACCTTCAGCCTCTCCCAGCAGGATCGCTGCAGTCATTCTCGAACTCCCAGGACACTCCCCCTTCATCTTGCTCTCCCTCTACCTCGAGGGCTCAGCAGGCCTCAGTCAGAGCAATCTCGAGCTGCTGGCAGCCATCGGGTGGACGCAAGCCACCACAATATGCCAGTATCTGCAGCAAGCGATTTTAACACGCCGCCGTCAGCCATCAAGAAGACGAGCCTGATAGAGCGAGGAGCATTTCAGTTGCTCCACTCGCCTGGGCCCACCTTATTCACCAGGAGAAGCACGTTTAAATTGGACTACTTCGTCGCCAGCAGAATACTGGGAGAATCTGTCAGCAGCGCCCAGGTCCCGGTTAACTACCCGCTCTCGCCCCGCAGGCCCGTCGTCGCACAGTTCGCGATAGGCAAGAACCACCTCATCCCCAGGTTGGCCAAGCCCCAGAAGATCCCCACCAAGCGCCCCTACGGTCCCTCCGAGGAGCCCAAGGAGTGGAACAGAGCAGTCGCAGCAGCGCAGCAGCTTCAGCAGATTATCCAGGAGCCAGGAGTTGCAGAACAACAGAAGATCCAAGCCTTGAACGCCGCCTTCGAGACGTTAGCCCTGGATCTCGAAGATTCGCTCGCCCAGCAAACAGACACACCGCTCAGGAGTCGAGGACAGATTTGCCAGCCCCCCAGGATCGTTTGGATTTCAGCCAGAGCAGAAGAGTCCAAGCATCGTGCTGGTTGGCAGTCATACGCCAGGCCGCCCAAGTGGCTAAATAATCGGGTCATTGACGTTCAGCGAAGTTTACACATAGGAGTGTCGGCAGGCCTGCGAGATGTACAGTCGGCCTTGCAGAATGCGCCACAGGAGTTTCAGTCAGCACAGGAGCTGGAGGCCCTGCTCGCCAAGTTCAGCCGCTTTCTCGACGCCCTCTTGCAGGACGTCAGGCGGGAGGGTATCGAGGCGTCCAGCCAACGTGCCTCCCACATCTTCTCTGAGTTCCAAGAGGAGATAACCAACTTCCACGACGAGGAACGCTCCCGGGAAAGACTTCAAGCCACTGCCTCCTGGACGCAGTGGGTCACCGAACAGATGGTCAAAGGAGCTGGGTGGGCCCATAGATGGTCCAAAGACAATGCCACGTGGCAGCCCCAAGAAGTGAAGGCCAAAGATGGCCGCTTGTCTGGACGGCCAAGTAAGCTCCTGGAGGGCGAGGCCGAAAGACTCTCCGACCTCTGGGATATCCAGGACACGCCTCTCCCCATAATCCCAAGGAGCCCTGCAACTGCGGCAGGATTGCCGATCATCACGCCCGCCTTTCTCAGGAAAGCCATCAGGACTTTCAGCCATCAGACATGTCAGACCTGGGACGGAGTGCACCCCAAGCATTTCGAGCTGCTGGCAGACAAGCAGCTGCAGGTTTTTATCGACTTACTGGCGTGCAACGAGCAGCTTGGCACGATGCCCTCCCAGATTCTGGCTACCATTACGAACCTCGTCCCGAAGCTGAAGGCCACTGGCGGGCCATCGTACAGGGGCATTGGTCTCCTCCGTGGAGTTTACCGAGTTTGGGCAAAGTTGAAACAAAGCGAAGCCAGACAATGGGAGAAACAATCCCTGCAGTTTCCTGGCGCATCAAGCAGGCCGCAGTATATTAGAACAGGTGGTTCAACAATCTCTTCTCGCAGAGCAAGGATGCCTAGCAGAAGAACCGACGCATACATCATCAGTACTATGGGATATGTCTAACTACTACGAGCATATCAGCAGGGAGGATCTTCAACAACGGGCAGCAAGCAACAATTTTAACGATGCGGTGCTCTCAGTCATTGAAAATCAGTATCAGCCCAGCAGATTCCTCACGTTTAACCAACTAATCCAGTATTGCGGGTTCCCAGGGAAAGGCATTCCAGCCGGGTGTGGTTTCGCAACATACCTAGTCCAGGTCTACGGCAAGCAGTCTCTCCAGTCTTGGGTTGTGGCGCATCCTGGCGTCCAGCTCAGCTTTTTCATTGCTGACATTTCGTTGCAGATTTTCCACGCGTGCAGGAAGCAGCTTGCGAGGAAGTTGCTTGACGCCTGTTTCCAGCTCCTATGTGCGATCAAGAGCGAGTTGCACTGCCAAGTGGCAAACAAGAAGTCGGTCGTCCTCGCCTCTTCCAGAGACATCCAAGGAAACCTTGAGTCTGAGCTAGGCAAGTACGCGGGCCCCCTCAAGAAGGTCTCGGTGGCCCCCAACCTCGGCATCGACTTTAGACCAGGAGGAGCTCGGCTTAGAGGAATTTCAAAATCGCCCTTGCGAGCCCGACGCCAGAAGCTCCAGGCCAGAACTAGACAAGAGAGCCCAAGGAGACACCAGGAAATTGCACAACACTCGACCAGGCCAGGCGCATTTCTACGGGTCCGAGGTCGTCGGGATCGATAACGTGGAGCTTCGCAAGTCGCAGTCGCTCTATCTCAAGATCGCGGGCCCAGGTACCACTACCCGCTCTCGCAGCCTCTCGCTCTGCCTCTCGGGAGACCCTTGCTGGAGGCCAGCAGTGGGCCCAGTGCTTCTTTGGAGCCAGCTTTGTCTGGCGCGCCGCCACAGGTTTAGCCACCGCGGGCTTCAACCTGCCGAGTTCGAGGCAGATGGCCGACGCGGTGCTATCGAGGCCACCTACAGTATGGAGCAGCTGTCGTGGCCCGATGGGAGCAGCATATCTCATCCTCACGCGGATCCAGTGGTCCTTCGTCTCCCCCTTCGTCATCCAGGACCCCGGAGGCAACCGGCACATTCCCACCAGTACCTCGCCCAGCCTCCTACAGGAATCCCTCAAGAGCTCCTGGGGCGACACGCTATCTCGCGAAGCAGCTGAAAAGATGGGCCTCGAAGGGGCCAAGTTATATTGCCAGATCGCTCAGGCATGCTTGAAATCAGCCAATCTATCAGCAGTGGAACGCAGCACGTTGTTGGCCTACCTATGCCACGCTATCTGGGCCAGGAGTGGACTAAAAGCGGCAGGATACGACGATCATACAGGAGAATCCCTGTGTGGAGCAGCATCGGACGACCTACCCCACCGTCTCCTGAGTCCCCCCCTGACTGAGGCCCCTAGGCAAGAAAGTTTCACAGAAGAAGAAATAGCCAGCATCACCAGTCCAGG